AGAAGGGTCTAGGCCTGAAACGTCAGCCTTTCTGCTCCTCTGATGCTGCTTGGCCTGCTGTGTTCATCCAGCTGTACACCTTGTTATATCAGAATGATGTGTTGTCTCCCTGGTGCTAGGGTCCAGGATATCTCGGAGAGGGTGCAGAATATTCTCAAAGGGGAGAGGGACCGGCAGGAGGTCATTGTACACATTGGAACTAATGACACAGGAAGAGAGAAGGATGAGATTCTGAGGACAGAATATAGGAAGTTAGGCAGGAATTTAAAAAGAAGGTCTTCAAGGGTAGTAATATCTGGATTATTCCTGGTGCCAAGATCTAGTGAGGTAGGAATAGGAGGCTAGAGCAGATGAATAAATGGCTGAGGAGCTGGTGCAGGGGAGAAGGCTTCACATTTTTGGATCATTGGAATGTCTTCTGGGATAGAACTGGCCTGTATAGGAACGATGGGTTGCACCTGAATTGGAAGGGGACTAATATACTGGCGGGGGGATATGCTAGAGCTGCACAGGAGGATTTAAAATAGTGAGGTGGGGAGTGGGTAGTGGTGTGGGACCCAATGAAATAGTGAGGAAAGAGACTGGTATGGTTGGGAAAAGGAGCAAGTCAAACAGTCAGGGCAGGCAGAAACAAAGCAGAGAATGAGGTAGGACTGATAAACAGCATTTATTTCAATGCAAGAGGCCTGACAGGTAAAGCAGATGAACTCAGGGCATGATTGGGAACATGGGGCTGGGATATCATAGCTATTACAGAGACATGGTTCAGGGATGGACAGGACTGGCAGCTTAATGTTCCAGGGTACAGATGCTATAGGAAGGATAGAAAAGGGGTGGGGGGATTGTGGTTGGGGACAAGAGAGGAGGGGGAGTGGTGTTTTTGATTCCGGATAATGTTCCGGCTGTACTTAGGGAATACGTCCAGTGAGGTTATTTGATTGGAACTGAGAAATAAGAAAGGGATGATTACCTTATTGGGATTGTGCTATAGACTCCCCCAACACTCAGCAGGAGATTGAGAAACAAGTTTGTAGGAGATCTCAGTTATCTGTATATTTAAGAGGGAAAACAGGAGGGCGAAAAGGGGACATGAGATAGCTTTGGCAAATAGAGTTAAGAAAAATCCAAGGGGATTCTACAAATACATTAAGGACAAAAGAATAACTAGGGAGAGAAGAGGGCCCCTTAAAGATCAGCAAGGCCACCTATGTGTGGAACCCAGGAGATAGCGGAGATACTAAATGAGTATTTTGCATCAGTGTTTACTGTGGAGAAAGATATGGCAGATATTGAACTTGGGGAAATCGATAGCGACATCTTGAAAAATGTCCATATTACAGAAGACGTGGTGCTGGATGTCTTAGAATGCCTAAAAGTGGATAAGCCCCTGGGACCTGATCAGGTGTACCCTAAAACTCTGTGGGAAGCTAGGGAACTGTTTCCTGAGCCCCTTGCTGAGATATTTGTATCATCGATAGCCACAGGTGAGGTGCCAGAAGACTAGTGGGTGGCTAATGTGGTACCATTATTTTCGAAAGATGGTAAGGGAAAGCCACAGAACTATAGATCGGTGAGTCTGCCATCAGCGGTGGGCAAATTGTTGGAGGGGATTCTGAGGGACAGGATTTACATCCAATTGGAAAGGCAAGGACTGATTAGGGATAGTCACCATGGCTTTGTGAATTGTAAACCATGCCTCACTAACTTGATTGAGCTTTTTGAAGCGGTAACAAAGAGGATTGATGAGGGCACAGTAGTGAATGTGATCCATAATAACTCCAGTAAGATGTTCAACAAGGTTCCACATGGTAGATTGGTTAGCAGGGTTAGATCACATGGAGTACAGGGAGAACTAGCCATTTGGATACAGAACTGGCTCAGAGGTAGAAGACAGATGGTGATGGTGGACGGTTGCTTTTCAGACTGGAGGCCTACGACCAGCGGTGCGCCACAAGAATCGGTGATGGGTCCACTGCTTTTTGTAATTTATGTAAATGATTTTGATGTGAACATATGGTTAGTAAGTTTGCAGATGACACCAAAATTGGAGGTGTAGTGGACGGTGAAAAGGTTACCTCAGAGAACAATGGGTCCTTGATCAGATGGGGCAATGGGCCAAGGAGTGGCAGATGGAGTTTAAAATGTGAGATGCTGCATTTTGGAAAGGCACCTCAGGGCAGGACTTATACATTTAATGGTAAGGTCCTGGTGAGTATAACTGAACAAAGACACCTTGGAGTGCAGGTTCAAAGTTCCTTGAAGGTGGAGTTGCAGGTAGATAAGATAGTGAAGAAGGTGTTTGGTATGCTTGCCTTTATTGGTCAGTGCATTGAGTTGGGACATCATATTGCAGCTGTACAGGATGTTGGTTAGGCCACCATTGTAATACTGTGCGCAATTCTGGTCTCCCTGCTATAGGAAAAATGGTGTGAAACTTTAAAGGGTTCGGAAAGGATTTACAAGGATATTTCCGGTGTTGGAGGCTTTGAGCTATAGGGAGAGGCTGAATAGGCTGGGGCTATTTTCCCCGGAGCATCGGAGCCTGAGGGATAACCTTATAGAGGATTATAAAATCATGAGGGGCATGGATAGGGTAAGTAGGCAAGGTTTTTTCCCCGCGGTGGGGGAGTCCAAAACTAGAGGGCATAGCTTTAAGGTGAGAGGGGAAAGATATAAAAGGGACCTAAGGGGCAACATTTTTACGCAGAGAGTGGTGCGTGTATGGAATGATTTGCCAGAGGAAGTGGTGGAGGCTGGAGGCAATTGCAACATTTAAAAGGCATCTGGATGGGTATATGAATAGGAAGGGTTTGGAGGATGTAGGCTAATTTCTGGCAAATGTGACTAGATTAATTTGAGATTTCTGGTCAACATGGACCAGTTGGACCAAAGGGTCTCTTTCTGTGCTGTACCTCTCTATGAATCTATGACACTATGTAGTCACATCTTTTCTGTATTGTGTTGATCAGAACAGTATGCAGTGCTCCAGCTGCAACCTAACAGCTCCAGCATCATCTCCTCGCTGCCTTCCTCAGTCCACATTATCCAGCCGGCCTGCTACCTTTGGTGATCTATGGACGCATACCCCATGGCCCCTTTACACTCCACAGAGAGTGGCCTCATCATTGCTTCCCTGGCCGTGTTCCTATGAAGCTGAGGGATGCAGGAATTCAATGTCTGTAACTCTGTGGAGACTTTTCCCTTGGCTTTGCCAATAGCAGATACTTGGTGTCCTCACTCCACACCTTGCACATTGTCGCCTGTCCCAGCAAAGTACCTAACTGGATAGAAAGCCATCACCTTGTTCTGCAAATAAAAGCACTGAGAAACGCAAAACAAGGAATGGATGTGTTGTTGGATGATTACTGTCTATACACAAAGTTACCTTGATGCTGTGTTCTGCTCCCATTGTGTGCAGTCTGCTCCTCGACCTCCAACTCCATGTGAATTGAATCATCAGTTACTGCGTTCATCCACAACACCAGGTTTGTAGCCAGGGTCAGCATTAGCCCACACCTATTGCATAGTGCAGAAGCAAAGAATCTCAAATTAATGTATTCAATGGGATGTTGGTATGCTCTAGTCCAGCAGTATCTCATTGTGACTGACCATCCTTGACATCTCCTGCAAATTGGCTTGATTTTCCAGCTTTAGGAAGGCTTCATTGTGTTTTTAGGGCATGAAAAGAGGCCATTTAGCCCATCTTTTTCTAGCCTTTTGTTTGCTCAGTTTTCCAACGCCCCATGATTGTCCAAGAGTCTGTTGGAGCCAGGGATTAATCTCCTCATTCCATAAAAGCTTCAGGAGCTTGGAGCAACCTTCCAATGGGGTCAGGGGGCTACATGTCACAGAGTATAAATAGCCCAGTGTGGGCAGAGCTAGAGCACATTGGAAGAACATTCTGGAAGAATCTTACTGGAGTGAGCCTCTCCAGAGGAAACACAGACAGTATGTGATCATGAGCACAGGGAGAAGCCAGGTTAGTACTTAGATAGTGTAACAAAAAGTCAGAACCTGATATCTCCATGATCTCCGAGCATACTGGGATTTAATATTTAGTATCGTAATTCATGTTACTTTGAAGCCCAAGCCTGTCGTTGACTTTGCCTTCTCCTCGACCAGTCTGTCTCAAACTCAAACTCACGGTGAGGTATCAAACCAAACCATCAAATATCCCAGACACTGCAGCAAGCTACATCCCAGATAGAAAAAGGACATGGGAGTCTTTACTAAAATAATGCTTTTCTCAACTGAGGGGATTCTGAGAGATAGGATTTACTGCATTTGGAAAGGTAAGGACTGATTAAGGATAGTCAGCATGGCTTTGCTTATGGGAAATCATGTCTCACAAACTTGAACATCCTTGTGCAAACTAGTTGTAAACATATAAGATTTGGGGAGATCCTGTTTGACAGGGAGAGGAGCTAGAATGTGGTGGAAGGTCAGTTATTTGGCAGAATCTCCTGGAAGATGTCCAAATACAACCTGCCTACTGTCCTCCTCACTTGTTCGGGGTATCACACCCTGGACAGCATGCTTATGTAGCTTTACTGTGGAGCGTTTAAAAGAAATTGTACTTACAACAGAAGTCATGCTAGCCAGACTGGCATTTAATGCCCATCCCTAATTTTCCTGGAAAAGGTGAACTGCTGCAGTCCATGTGATGTGGGCTGACCCAAAATGCCATCAGGGAGGGAATTCCAGGATTTTGAACCAGCGACAGTGAAAGAACAGTGATATATTTCCAAGTTGAGATGGTGAATGACCTGGAGGGGAACTTGCAGGCAGTGGTGTTCCTATGTATCTGCTGCCCTTGGCCTTCTAGAAGGCAGTAGTCAAGGGTTTGGAAGGTGCTGTCTGAGGAACCCTGGTGAATTTCAGCAGTGTATCTTGTAGATGGTAAACACTGCTGCTACTGAGCGTCGGTGGTGGAGGGATTGGATGCCTGTGGATGTAGTGCCAATCAAGCGGCTGCTTTGTCCTGGATGGTGTCAAGTTTCTTGAGTGTTATTGGAGCTGAACATATTAGGCAAGTGGAGAGTATTCCATCACACTCCTTACTTGTGCCTTGTAGATGATGGACAGGCTTTGAGGAGTCTGGAGGTGAGTTACTCGCTGCAGTATTCCTAGCCTCTGACCTGCTCTTGTAGCCACTATGTTTATGTGGTGAATCCAGTTGTGTTGGTCAATGCGTAAGCTGTGAATGTTGATAGTGGGGGTTTCAGTGATGGTAACACCATTGAATGTCAAAGGGGCAGTGGTTAGATTGTCTCTTATTGGTGATGGTCATAGCCTGGTATTTGTGTGGCGTGAATGTCACTTGCCACTTGTCAGCCCAAGCCTGGATATTGTCCAGATCTTGTTGCATTTGAACATGGACTTCAGTATCTGAGGAGTCATGAATGGTGCTGCAGGCAGGTTCAAGAACAGCTTCTATCTGGCCATGATCAGACTGTTGAATGGACTCTAGCCTCAAATAATGTAACCTGCAATGTAACTTGTACGCCTCTCAGTCTTTTGGATCTCTACATCCTTTGCTTGCTGTGATCTGCCTTACTTGGCTGGGTTGTATTTGTCCTGCTTTTTGCATACAGGACATACCTGGGCAAATTTGCACCTTGTTGGGCAGATGCCAACGTTGTAACTGTATTGGAACTGTATTGCTAGGTGAGTGGCAAGTTCTGGAGCACAAGTTTTCAGTGCTCTAAGCAGAATGTTGTCAGGGTCCATATTCAGTGCCTCCAGCCATTTCTTGATGTCATGTGGAGTGAATCGAATTGGCTGAAGACTGGTATCTGTAATGCTGGGGACCACTGGAGGAGGCCGAGATTGATCATCCACTCAGCACTTCTGGCTGAAGATTGCTGCAAATGCTTCAGCTTTATCTTTTGCACTGATGTGCTGGGCTCTTCCATCATTGAGCATGGGGATACTTGTGGAGCCTCCTCCTCCTCCAGTGAGTTGTTTAATTATCCACCACCATTCATGACTGGATGTGGCAGGATGGTAGAGCTTAGATCGGATCCGTTGGGAGTGAGATCACTTAGCCCTATAGCCTGTTGTTTTCACAGTTTAGCACGTACATAAATGCGTTGTCACTTCATGAGGTTGGTTTATCGCTCGGCCTGGCGCTGCTCCTGGAAGCCCACCTTCCATCTTCATCATCACCAGGGCTGCTTCCCCTGGCCAATAGTAATGATTGAGCAGGGGATGTTAAGGACTGACATGTAGGGGTCGGAAAGGGTCAATACGCACCGTGATACTGTCTCGTGGAGGGAGACAAATCTTTCTCGTAACGTATGGCGTGTTCTTACAACAGGTTACGGAAACACTGCCAGCTACGTCTTGTTTACCTCACAAAACTCATTAAATCAGTAGGTGGCAGCCCTGACATATTCGAGACCCTATCAGCCCTGAAAGAGCCCCACACCCCCATGAAATGAATGGCAAACACGCAGCTTGGTGATCAGCGTAGGATCTGATCCAGCGGCAAAGATGCCAGTAACACAGCAGGAGGCAAACCGTTGCTGCTGATTGCTGAGGGCAGTAAACCCTAAAAACTCGGCAAAAAAAAAGCCCAAAGAACTGCGGATGCTGTAAATCAGAAACACAAACAGAAATTGCTGGAAAAGCTCAGCAGTTCTGGCAGCATCTGTGGAGAGAAATCAGAGCTAACATTTCGGGTCCATTGCTCCTTCCTCAGGACTGATGGTGGCTAGAAAATGTTTTTATGCCAAAGATAGGATGGGAGGAAGGGGGGAGGAGTAAGTGATAGGTTAAATGGTAGAACCCAAACAGGGAGTAAAACAGTTGATCAATGGAATGGATAAAGACCAGCCTGGGAGAATGAATAGCTGCTGATGGGGACTATTAGTAGCTGACAATGGGTAGTGTCTGGTAGCAGCCCATGTAATGACAAGGCCTGGTGTGTGGGGGTTGAGGAAAGGTGCTTAAGCCCTAAAATTGTTGAACTTGGTATTGAATCCAGAAAGCTGCAGGGTTCCCAAGTAGAAAATGAGGTGCTGTTCTTCCAGCTTGCATTGAGCTTCACTGGAGCACTGCTACCAGCCTGAGGCAGAGATGTTGGCCAGGGAACAGGGTGGTGTGTTGAAATGGCAGGTAAAGGGTAGCTCAGGGTCTTTTTTTGCGAGCAGAATGTAGATGTTCTGTTAAGTCACCCAGTCTACACTTTGTTTCCCCAATGTAGAGGAGACCACCCTAAAAACTCATTTGGCAACACTCAATTCTAAAGAATATTTCAAAAGCTGACAGAAAGCATTTCAGAGCTGGTAAAAGATGCTTTCCAGTTTGGCGGAATCTCTCTGCCTGAGAAAGTCACCTGGGTCCTGGGCGGTTGAGGGTCAAGTCGCGTAAAAATGGGATTTGTTAAAATTGCGAAAAATAAGACGTACTTCAAGCAAATGAAGTTTAGGAGGTGGAGAGAGGGAAGGACTGATTACTTTTGCGTGAAAATGCTTGGTGGTTCAAGATAAGAACAGGTACAGTCCTCCAAAATATCAGGTGTTAGTGTGACTTTCCAACCGGGACAGTTTACATATGCCAAAATTAACATTCCATGTGCTGCCTACAGCCATAAATCACCCTAATACAGCATAAAAGTTGGGCTGATCAAGTATGCTGCATCCTATCGCAGGGTCTGCTTCTTGCCCATGGGCTGCTCAACAAATTTGGGTTGGACAAGATCCATGAGTGTTGGGGAAAGCAACTGGTGATGAATACGACGTAGAAAGCATTGATGGGAAGCTTAGTGCTTCCACCTGCTCTCTTGATGCTGGACTTGCCAGAACCACCACAGGCAACTATGTCTTTGGCACTTTGAAAGGTGCAGTTGATGGTGTCCACATAGCACCAAATGATTTCCCGACTATGACTCTGAAAGCAAGGAATTCAATCCTGAATTTCATTGTAAACACATCTCTGGGTTGAATATAGCAGAATACATGTGCTATCTAATGGATGAGGATGCCTATAAGAAACAGTTTTCTCAGGACATCAAGCATGGGGTCAGAGTGGACATGACAGAGGATTTGTACAAGAAAGCTCATGCTGCTATTGGGGAGAACCATGTTCATGAGAAGAAGCCTAAGACAGAAGGCAAGAAAAAGAGGTGGAATTATTCTAAGATAGTAGGAGCTGCCAATGCTGGAGAATCTGAGATAACAAGGTGTAGGGCTGGAGGAACACAGCAGGCCAAGCAGCATCAGAGGAACGGGAGAGCTGACGTTTCGGGCCTAGACCCTTCTTCAGAAAATCAGAATTATTCTAAGGTGTGATTGGAACAGAGAAAGGATTATATTGCTCAAAAAAGGCCAGCTTTCTCAGGAACAAAATGTCAACAGTTGAATAGTTGCCTTTAGCGATTGTTCAGAAAAGTAATCATTCTGACAATTCGTATAAACTGTCAAACTTAAAGAAATAAAAAGATGTGCTGCAGAACTGAAGAACTCTGCAGCTCCAACATAGGAGTACAGGCAGCATCATCGCTGAGTTCAGCCAGTGAGTGAACAGAAATTGATGACGAAGGTTCAGGAGACTCCTCATTAAAGTTCGAGCCATAGAGACACAGAATCATACAGCATGGAAACAGACTGTTCGGTTTAACCATGTTCCTAAACTAAACTAGTCCCACCTGCCTGTGCTTGGCCCATATCCTTCCAAACATTTCTTATTCATGTACTTATTCAAATGTCTTTTAAACATTGTAATTGTACCCACATCCACCACTTCCTCTGGAAGTTCATTCCACACACAAACCACTCTCTGTGTAAAGAAATTGCCCCTCATGTCTTTTTTAAATCTTTCTCCTCTAACCTTAAAAATATGCCCCTTAGTCTTGAACCTCCCCAACCTAGGGAAAAGACACCTGCCATTCACCTTATCTATATTCCTCATGATTTTATAAACCTCTATAAGTATAACCTCAACCTCCTACGATCCAGTGAAAGAAGTCCCAGCCTTCCATACCCGGCCACATCCTGGTAAGCCTCTTCAGAACTTTCTCCAGTTTAATAATATCCTTCCTGGAGTCAAAAGAATCAGCAAGATCTCTGTTTATTCAGGGTGTCTCCTAGGCAGAAGCACTGTGGCAGTAAGTGGCAGTGAACGTTATTGAACAGAAGTGAATGTAGGACGGCCGGTTTGGATAATAACCGACTGAATGCTGAAGGAGAGCCTCCGTGAGGGGAATGTGGGGACATCTGTTGGTGGCGGTGGCGGTGGCGGTGGTGGTGGTGGTGGTGGGGGGGGGGGGGGCGGTGGTGGGGGGGGGGGGGGGGAGGCGCGGTTGTGGTGGTGGGGTGTGGGAGGTGCGGTGGTGTGGATGGAAACTAGCTGTTTTCAGTGATTAAAGGATTTGAAATGAAGATGGTATAGGTTGAACACTAAATACAACAGGTTTAGGTTGTAGACTTGCTCGCTGAGCCAGTGGGTTTGGATGCAGACGTTTTGTATTACTTCCAGTTCTGTTTCTCAGTGGTTTGTACACAGGGTCTAA